AGGCCTGCATATTTTCTCACTTGCTCTTTTAGTCCATCTAAAAATTCCATAGGCCCTTCCTCTTTTCTTTGTTGTATATCAAATGCTCCAGAAAGGTTTTGAGTTTGGGCCACTGACTCTTGAATTCCTTTATCATTTCTCTGAGATCTTTCATATTTTCTCAGTGGGCTGCACTGTTATTATCACATTGAGGGTCTTGGGCTGGGAATTTTCGGTCTGCTGCAGGAATGTTTTGGCCAGGAGGGTGTTCATGTTCACAGACTACCATAGCGGCTTTGTGGGTCCTGCCCCTTTCTTCCCCTGAAAAGACGATGCCTAGCAGACATGAACTCGGCCCAAGTATACAACTGGGGCCCTAAAAATTGATCAGTCAGGTCTGCCACTCCATATGGGTCATCTAAAAGTGGCTTGAGCTCCTTTTTAAAATTTCGAACTTCTGAGCTGGTTAAGGGGGCATTAACGAAGCCAGTGCCCCCTCCTCCTCCCAGGGACCTCTCTTAAGGGGAAGAGAGTTAGAGCTGATTCCTTAGAGGTAGACGGGAAGGGGAAGTTCTAAGTATCCTTTTTACATTGCTCTACCTCGCATTCAAGTTTTCTTTGGGGAGGGCATTTAGGCACTTCCCAAGCAAAATAAAACAACAATATTTTATCATTTGCTGTTTTTTCTTGTGTTTAGTCTTCTCATTATCCTTCCAATAATTTAACATGAAACCTAGGAGACTATCAGGAGTATTGCTGTAACTAGCTTTATCCCTCCCGTTTCCTGCCTTACTTGGCGCATTGCCCATCTTGGAGGTTTGGTATGAGGCTCAATCCTCGTCTCAGAGATTTCTTGCCTTTCCTTTTCCCTAGAGGCCCCTTACTGGAGATTTCTTGCACGCAATCATGCGTCTCACTCGCACACTTTCAACCTCCAAGATATCCCGACCACCAAGGAAATACTTTGCCGCCCCCGCGACGTTTCTTACCTTCGTCCAGAGGATCCTTTCCGCCCGCGTTGCTGAGTCTGGGTTTATTCCTCACACTGGGGGAGGTCTCGATCCCCCTGCCCCTGGGGCCACCGCAACAAGGCAGTGGGACGGTCTCCTCACGAGATGATCAGGGACTTCTCCCCAGAGGAGAAAGGAAATCCCTGACAGCCCCCGAATTGTTAGAAATAAGTTCTCGGTGCCGCAGAGACCAGCACTCCGGAGAAAAGTTATACAAGGCAAACTTTACTTCTGCAGAATGCTGCTGCCCGAGACTGCAACAGTCGGAAGAGCCAGGGCACACCTGACGAAGGAGAGCAGGGGTCTTTCCCTCAAAGGCTGGGGTTACGCAATCTAAGGTGATTCCGATTGGCTATTTAAGAAGGTATGGGTTGCAGCAGCGGGAAGGGGCAGTTTACAGAACAAAGGACAAGGGAGTTAGATTTCTGAAGAGGAATTAATTCTTTTTTTTTTTTTTGAGACAGAGTTTCACTCTTGTTACCCAGGCTGGAGTGCAATGGCACGATCTCGGCTCACCGCAACCTCCGCCTCCTGGGTTCAGGCAATTCTCCTGCCTCAGCCTCCTGAGTAGCTGGGATTACAGGCACGCGCCACCATGCCCAGCTAATTTTTTGTATTTTTAGTAGAGACGGGGTTTCACCATGTTGACCAGGATGGTCTCGATCTCTTGACCTCGTGATCCACCCGCCTCCCAAAGTGCTGGGATTACAGGCATGAGCCACCGCGCCCGGCCGAAGAGGAATTAATTCTAATATTACCAACACTTTTGTTCCCGGGGCTCTGACACCTCTCCCGACAAAAGGGACTTTTTCTTTTTTTAAATGGAAAAGGCCTGTGCTTGAACAGACTTGGGAGGGGACCAGGAGCCCGGGAATGGGACCAGTACAGATGCAGGAAAGCAGGACAAGAAAGAGGCCCAGCCAGCTCCAGCCACTAAGGAGCTCGATCGCCTGACTTCTACCGCGGCTAGAAAGTCAGCTCCGGCGCCTCTCCAGGGACGCTGGTTCCCCGACTCAGGTTACGCACGGCCTGCAGTACCGATGCCCGCGCCATTTTTTTTTTTTAAATGGAAACGCCCTGTGCTTGAACAGGCTTGGGAGGGACCAGGAGGAGCCAATACCTACGTCCCACCATCCCCCCGCAACGCCGGGAGGAGCGAGACCTCCACTTCCAGCTTTGGACAAGGCCAGACTGAGACGGTCGCGTAGCTTTCTGGGAAATGCCTGGAACTACCGCGTATGCTGCCCTAGAGACTACGTGTCCCATAATGCACCAGGCGCGCAGCGTCTGAACGGTGCGCTGCTGCCCCCTTGTGACAGCTGGGCGGTCATTGCCGAGGCCAGGGACACTAAGGTTCCGGGATCTGGGAGGTGAGCCCAAGTCCTGGGAACTCCTGGGAATTCCCTCCCAACCCCAAACTTTGCGCAGGAAAGGTGGGGTAGGGACGGGTACTGTGAAAGATTTGCGGACAGGACCCGCTGTGAGGATTAAAGGAAACCGGCCCAGTAACTGTTGGCTGTATATAGTCTTTAGTAACGTGACACGCAACGCGATCGTGTCATGGTGTAGGTACTTTTTTTTTTTTTTTTGAGATGGTGTCTCCCTCTGTCGCCCAGGCTGGAGTGCAGCGGCGCGATCTGGGCTCACTGCAGCCTCTGCCTTCCGGGTTCAAGCGATTCTTCTGCCTCAACCTCCAGAGTGGCTGAGATTACTACAGGAGCTAGCCGCCACGCCACGCTAATTTTTGTATTTTTAGTAGAGACAGGGTTTCACCATGTTGGCCAGGCTGGTCTCGAACTTGTAACCTCAAATGATCCACCCGCCTCAGCCTCCCAAAGTGCTAGGATTACAGGCATGAGCCTCAGCCTGTTTTTTTTTTTTTTGTTTTTTTTTTTTTAGACAGGGTTTCAATTTGTCACCCAGGCTGGAGTGCAGTGGTGTGAACACAGTGCACTGCAGCTTCTACCTTCCCAGGCTCAGATGATCCTACCACCTCAGCCTCCCAAGTAGCTGGGACTACAGGTATGCACAACACCCAGCTTTTTTTTTTTTTTTTGTAGAGACAGTGTTTTTGCCATGTTGCCCAGGCTGGTCTTGAACTCCTGAGTTTAAGTGGTCTGCCCTCCTAGGCCTCCCTAAGGGCTGGGATTATGGGCATGAGCCCCCATGCCTGGTCTTTTATTTTTCTTTTCTTTTTTTGAGACGGAGTCTCCCTCTGTTGCCAGGCTGGAGTGCAGTGACATGACCTCAGCTTACTGCAATCTCCACCTCCCGAGTTCAAGCCATTTTCCTGCCTCAGCCTCCCGAATAGTTGGGATTACAGGCCTGCACCAAAACAGCCAGCTAATTTTTGTATTTTTACTAGAGACAGGGCTTCACCATGTTGGCCAAAATGGTCTTGATCTCCTGACCTCATGATCCACCTGCCTCAGCCTCCAAAAGTGCTGGCATTATAGGCGTGAGTCATGCACAGGGCCTCTTTTTTATTTTTGGTTTTGAGACAGGGTCTTGCTCTGTCATCCAGGCTGGAGTACAGTGGTGCTATCCTAACTCACTGTAGTCTCCATCTTCTGGGCTCAAGTGATCCTCCAACCTCAGCCTCCCATGTAGCTAGGACTACAGACATGCGCCATCACACCTGGTTCATTTTTTTGTATTTTTGGTAGAGACAAAGTTTAGCCATGTTGCCCAGGCTGGTCTCAAACTCCTGGGCTCAAGCAATCCGCCAGCTCGGCCTCCCAAAGTGCTGGGATTACAGGCATGAGCCACCATGCCTGGCTGACTTGTACATAGTTTTTTTTTTTTTTTTTTTTGAGATAGGGTCTTGCTGTGTTGCCCAGGCTGGAGTGCAATGGCACAATCTCAGCTCACCGCAACCTCTGCCTCTCGGGTTCGAGCGATTCTCTTGCCTCAGCCTCCAGAGTAGCTGAGATTATAGGCACGAGCCACAACACCCAGTTAATTTTGTATTTTTAGTAGAGACGGGGTTTCTCTGTGTTGGTCAGGCTGGTCTCGAACTCCTGACCTCAGGTGATCCATCCGCCTTGGCCTCCCAAAGTGCTGGGATTACAAGGTGTGAGCCACCACACCCAGCATGAGTTGTAAATATATATATATTTTTTGAGACAGAGTCTCGTTCTGTCACCAGGTGCCAGGCTGGAGGGCAGTGGTACGATCTCGGCTCACCACAACCTCTGCCTACCGGGTTCAAGCAATTCTCCTGCCTCAGCCTCCTGAGTGGCTGGGACTACAGGCACGTGCCACCACGCCCAGCTAATTTTTGTATTTTTTAGTAGAGACAGGGTGTCACCATGTTGGCCAGGATGGTCTTGATCGCTTGACCTCATGATCCGCCCACCTCCTCAGCCTCCCAAAGTGATGGATTATAGGCGTGAGCCATTGTGCCCAGCCGTAGTTTGTTTTTTTAAATTTTTTTTAACTTTCTTTTGAATCAGCAATAATCGCACCTTGGATAAACCACATTGGCTACGATACTGCCACTGCGCAAAGCTTGTACAGTTTTTCTTTTTGAGACAGAGTCTCACTCTGTCACCAGGTGCCACACTGGAGTGCAGTGGTGCGACCTCGGCTCACTGCAACCTCCGCCTCCCGGGTTCAAGCAATTCTCCTGCCTCAGCCTCCCCAGTAGCTGGGACTACAGGCGCGCACCACCACGCCCAGCTTATTTTTTTGTATTTTTAGTAGAGATGGGGTTTCACCATGTTGGCCAGGATGGTCTCGATCTCTTGACCTCATGATCCACCCACCTTGGCCTCCCAAAGTGCTGGGATTACAGGCGTGAGCCACCGCACCTGGCCACGTACATAGTTTTAAAGGCAAAGAATATCCTCACCCTTCCCCTTCTTCCTGGTAGCTACAGCAGATGAGGTGGGAATGATAAGAAGATCAGGGAGCAGCAACATATGAGATGGAGGCTGGCCCCTGATACTGAAGGGCCACTATTTACCCAGCAACCCAGTGGGTCTCCAAATCATCAAGTCCCCCAAACACTTTCCAGGTTTCTAGTGAATTTAATGCATGAGTCTCAAAAATCAATGGCAGAGGAGAAATGAATAAAATTAAAATGGGGTCAGAAGAGGGCCATAGGCACACACAGGAGGGGCAGTGAGTGGCCAAGTTAGGAGCTGGAGCGGGGGAATTCCTGGGCTGTCACATCTCGTCCAACCCGTAGTCCTCCTCCGGGAAGTCCCCCACTGTCACGACTGCTGGCTTGACGAAGGCGCCATACTTGGCCTGGCATTCGAAGTAGCGTTTCCCATTCACACTGCAGGGCAGGATGGGGGTGGGTGTGGTCAGAGGACCCTCACATGGCTCCACTCCAGATGCTGGCATGGGCAGCGCAGCCAACAGCACGCATGGACTTACACACACACACACGCACAGACACCTGAGTGGGAATGCTTGTTACCTGCCATCGTTTTTCCCCAGTGGCTCATCATAGCGGACGCCAATCCAGTAGCCAGGCTTGAAATCTGTGAGACCTGCCCACAAAAGAGAAATCCCCATGAAACTGCTGGACATAGAAGAAATCCCCATGAAATTTCAGGATCACCCTGGATCTGTGCCTGCCCATTGAATAAAAGCCTGTCTTGGTGAAAACCAATTCTTGCTACCTCCACTGCTACCACTAGGACCACCTCCATCTCCTGCCCAGACTAATATGGTAGCCACTTCACTGGTGTCCCTGCTCTCACCCCTGTTCCCCATTCCCTCGGTGAAGACACCAGCCAGTGAGGTCTTTGTAAAAACCTACAGGGATGGCACTGCTGCACTGCCAAAGAGAGAGGCTTCCGAATAAATCAAACCTGCTTTATCTTAAACTTCCAGCCTCCATTACTGTGAGAAATAAATTTCTTTTGTTTAAGTCGCCCAGTGAGTGGTACTTTGTTAGCAAACTAATACAGAATTCAGCAACAAGACAGCATCCCAGTGAAAAAGCAGGCAGAGGACGATATAAGGAAGTCAATAATTCAATACCAAAAAAAAAAAAAGGGGGAAATAATCCCATTAAAAAGTGGGCAACAGGCCGGGCGCGGTGGCTCAAGCCTGTAATCCCAGCACTTTGGGAGGCCGAGGCGGGTGGATCACGAGGTCAAGAGATCGAGACCATCCTGGTCAACATGGTGAAACCCCGTCTCTAGTAAAAATACAAAAAATTAGCTGGGCATGGTGGCGTGTGCCTGTAATCCCAGCTACTCAGGAGGCTGAGGCAGGAGAATTGCCTGAACCCAGGAGGCGGAGGTTGCGATGAGCCGAGATCACGCCATTGCACTCCAGCCTGGGTAACAAGAGCGAAACTCCGTCTCAAAAGAAAAAAAAAAAAAAAGTGGGCAACAGGAAGTTGAGGCTGTGGTGAGCCATGATCATGGCCAAAGAATATGAACACACCCTTCTCAAAAAACCATATATTGAACGGGCAGGGTGGCTCACGCCTGTAATCCCACACTTTGGGAGGCCAAGGTGGGCGGATCATGAGGTCAGCAGATCAAGACCGTCCTGGCTAACACAGTGAAACCCTGTCTCTACTGAAAATACAACAAATTAGCTGGGCGTGGTAGCACACGCCTGTAGTCCCAGCTACTTGTGAGGCTGAGGCAGGAGAATCACTTGAACTTGGCAGGCGGAGGTTGCAGTGAGCCGAGATTGCTCCACTGCACTCTAGCCTAGACAACAAAGTGGGACTACATCTCAAAGAGAAAAAAAAAAGGGGGGGCCAAGTGTAGTGGCTCATGCCTGTAATCCTAGCACTCTGGGAGGCCGAGGCAGGTGGATCACAAGGTCAGGAGATTAAGATCATCCTGGCCAGCACGGTGATACCCCGTCTCTACTAAAAATACAAAAATTAGCTGGGTGTGGTGGCACACACCTGTAATCCCAGCTACTCAGGAGAATCCCTTGAACCCGGGAGGCGGAGGTTGCAGTGAGCCGAGAAATTTATACAAGAATGTTCAGGCCAAGCATGGTGGCTTAGCCTATAATCCCAGTATTTTGGGGGGCTAAGGTGGAAAGATCACTTGAGCAGGAGGAGTTTGAGACCAGCCTGGGCCACATGACAAAACCCCATCTCTATAAAAAAAACTGCAAAACTGTAGCCGGGGTGATGAATGCCTATAGTCCCAGCTACTCGGGAGGCCGAGGTGGGAGGATGGCTTGAGCCCAGGAGGTGAAAGCAGAAGTGGCTGAGACTGCGCCACTGCATTCCAGGCTGGGCAACAGCCAGACCCTGTTTCAAATTAGGAAAAAAAAAAAGTAGAAATGACCCTAATGTCCACTAACTGATGATCGAATAAATAACATGTGGCATACGTGTACAATGCAGGACTATCTGGCAACAGTGCGGTACTGACACACGTGCGACATGAATGAAACTTGAAAATGTTTCTGCTCAGTGGAAGTGGCCAGTCACAAAAGGCCACAGATTGCATGATCCTATTCCTATGAAACATCCAGAATCGGCAAATTAGAGACAGAATGTAAATTAGTGGCTGCAGATGACTGGGGGATGGGTCCACACGGGCATAAAGATGGAAATAGCAGACAGTGGGGATGCCAGAAGCCGGGAGGGTAGTGAGGTTTGAAAAATTCCCTATTGGGTACAATGCTCACAGTTTGGGTCATGGAAACGCTAGAAGCCCAGTCCCCCCCTGTTAGCATGCAACACTCCCGTGTAACAACGCATGTACCCCCTGAATCCTTTTTATTTATTCATTTATCTCCAGAGACTGAGATACTTTCAAGCCCCCCCAGCACCCCAAGGCAGAGCGTGAGGCTCCTCTGCACGCACAGCGTTCCCTCCAGCCTTGCCACGCACCTACATACATGACGGTGCCCCGGCGAGGGGACTGCCCCGCCGCCCGCACCTCACAGCGGCTGCCCACCGGGATGGAGCTGGCCTGGGCCTTCTCCTCAGCGAGGCGCTGGGCGGCCTCGGCCTCCTGCTGCGCCCGCTCCTCCTCGTTGTACCTGCCGAGCTTGCTGCGCTTCAGGAAGGAGCGGACCGTGTCTGTGGGCGTAGGGGACTGGGGTCAGCTGGGGTGTCGGCTGGGCCTCTGGCCTAACACGATGACGCTCCACCCATGAGGGGCCCATTCATAGAGGAACTCTCTCTTCCAGGTGACAAAGGGCTGTCACCCAAGCCCCAGGTCTCCCAATGCAGTCTCAGCCTGTCCTAGGACTCCGGGGCCCCCTCACAACCCAGAAACGGAAGGGGTGCGGCCGGCGTCCCCCACCTTGTCACAGGACCCATGCTCTCATGTCTTCAGCCACAGCCGCCTTCACATCCCGCCTTCCTCCTCCGCCCTCCTCCCCCACTGAGGCCCCCGGATTCCCAACACTCTGATCCATCCCAGGCGCCCTCACTGCCTGCCACTCTGTCCACTCACATCCCACCTGTCCCGCCCTCCACATGTTCCTATCTGACCCCGACTGCTCCAACACCCAGCCCCCACACCTACCCCTCAACCCCTCCACTTTCCCGGTCCTCCACCCACCACATCTGACTGCCCACACCCAGACACCTCCCAGCCCTCATTCCCACCCCAGACCCCCACCTGCCGCGACTCCCAGCCTTACCCTTATATCCCCCCAACCTCCGGCCCCCGCTGCCCACACCACTGGCCTCCCTGCAGCGGCCTTGTCTACCTGCCTGCTCCCTGCCTGCACATACTCGCTCTGGCCCCCACGCCCCCCTCATGGCCTCCTGCCCGTACCTTGCCTCTGGTCGTAGGCTTCTTGTGAGATGGTGTACTTCTCCACCCGGGACACGTCCTCATACTCACCAAGGCGGGCGCCGCTGTGGTCAATGACCTGCGTGAGGGGAGGGGCTCGCTGGGGATCAGGGTCTGGCCAGGGAGGCCTGGGTGCAGGGACGTCAGCGTCTCCTATCTGGGAAAACACAATCCTCTCCCTCACCCCTGCTACGGCCTTCTCTCCTCTCCTAAGCCTGGTGGAAGGTGGAAGTAGGTACATACACTGGCCACCTCTTCTTCCTCACCCCCATCCAAACTCCTGGAGGCTGCGTCTGTCCCCAGAAGTCCCCCACATGCTGCCATCAACGTCACCAAAGTCACGAAGCTCAATTGACAGAGCTCAGTCCTTGCCCACACCTCTCGGCCTGGCGCATCTCTTCACTGGGCCTCTGGGACTCTCCTAAGCTGGCCCCAGCCTCAGGCCCCAGAGCATCTCTTCCTGTTCTGCCCCCAGTATCCATTCAGTCACTGGCTTCTGAGCTCCCAGGCACCCAGCTGGGCCTCCTGCTGGGGATACAGTGCAAAAACCAGACTCGCCCTGCCCTGGAGCTGTGCTCGCTGTGCTGCGAGAAGGCCGACCGCAAAGGAACAGGTACCTATAAAACACCAGAGCGTGGCCGTGACCCCCGAAAACCAGAGCTTGGCCGTGACCCGCGAAACACCAGAGCTCGGCTGTGACCCATGAAACACCAGAGCGCAGCTGTCTTGAACTCCTGACCTCAAGTGTTCCTCCGGCCTCTGCCTCCCAGTGTGCTGAGATTATAGGCATGAGCCACCACACCTGGCCTAGACTTTGGTATTTACCTGGAGCTAGGTGCTGCCAGGGCAAGGCTCTGAGCCAGGAGGGCCCTGGCCTGACTCAGGTGGTCCCAAGCTCCCTCTGGCTGAGATGGGGAATGGTGAGGTTGGGGGAAGGATGGAGGTTGGACCAGGGTCAGGGAAGTTTTTGTAGGTGGAGCCGACAGGATTTGCTGAGAGAGTGGATGTGGGGGTGAGGGAGAGAGAGGGCCCAAGGAACACCCCAAAGCATCTGGCCCGAGCCACTGGGCTAACATGGCAAAGTAGGAATGAGCTTTATCTCCGCATCAAACATCCCTGAGAATTTCCACTATGTTGAGAATTTTCACAAATTTAAAGTTTTGTTATTTTAAACAATGAATATGAGTGATATTTATAAAGAGACAAAGAATTTTAGAAAAGGTAAAATTTCCCTGGAGGCTGCACCTCTGTGACAACTTCCTTGAGCGGCTGGGGAGGTCTGCATGTACCTGAACCTCCCAGGTGTGAAATCTGCTCAAGGACGCCTCCGCCTATGCCTCAACACTGGCATCCCTCAGCTTCGGCTGTCCAGGATGGCCCAAAGGCTCAGTCCTCCACACCCAGCAGAGGCCTGACCCAGAGCCCCTGGCCTCGTCCCCTTATCTGGACTCACAGCAGCCCCTCCTCTCTCTCTCCTCTTCCTGTCCTCCACCATCTGCCCCCTACACACAGCCAGAGGGGCCTGTGAACACCGGAGCCAGGTCAGAGTCCTCCCCCAGCCTCCATGTTGTCTGGGCGCAGAAGTGACCACTCTTTTTTTTTTTTTTTTTTTTTTTTTTTTTGAGACGGAGTTTCACTCTTGTTACCCAGGCTGGAGTGCAATGGCGCGATCTCGGCTCACCGCAACCTCCGCCTCCTGGGTTCAGGCAATTCTCCTGCCTCAGCCTCCTGAGTAGCTGGGATTACAGGCACGCACCACCATGCCCAGCTAATTTTTTGTATTTTTGGTAGAGACGGGGTTTCACCACGTTGACCAGGATGGTCTCGATCTCTTGACCTCGTGATCCACCCGCCTCGGCCTCCCAAAGTGCTGGGATTACAGGCTTGAGCCACCGCGCCCGGCTAGAAGTGACCACTCTTAATCCCCACTGCGCTCCCTCCCGCCTTGGAGTGTTTGCTGTTCTGTGCCCCCCTCCAGGAATACCCTTTCCCCCTCTTCAGTTAACTCTTTTTTTTTTTTTTTTTTTGTAAGACAGGATCTCGCTCTATCACCCAGACTGAAGCACAGTGGCGCCAGCTGGGCTCACTGCAACCTCTGCCTCCTGAGTTCAAGTGATCCTCCTGCCTCAGCCTCCTGAGTAGCTGGGATTACAGGCGCCTGCCACCATGCTCAGCTAATTTTTGTATTTTTAGTAGAGATGGCGTTTCACATGTTGGCCAGGCTGGTCTCAAACTCCTGACCTCAGGTGATCTGCCCACCTCAGCCTCCCAAAGCGCTGGGATGACAGGCATGAACCACCGTGACCGGCCTGAGGGGCAATTCTTTTTATTCTTCGTGTCTCTGCTCTGGTGGCACCACCTCCAGGATGTCCTCCCAGACCTCACTGATGCATCAGGTACCCCAAGATAGGGTCTCCCAGCTCCATGATCTCCTACATAGCCTGTCTCCACTGACCCTTCACATTCAGTCCTCTGGTCATTTAGCCAACATCTACCTCATACCCTGGACCTTCTCAGATACAGTCATAGCTATACCCCTGGGAATAACATGGATGGGCAATGAACAGTTACTGATTCAACGAGAGAAAAAAGTAGCACTTTTCCAGACACAATGACTCCTGGAGTCATGCAAACTGGGGTCAAAATGCTACTGACCTTAGTCACCCTTAGTCACCCTTAAGAAAGTAAACTCTGGGCTCTTCCAGTTCCAGGTGCTTTGGGAACCATGGCTTAAGGTGCAGACCTGGCCAAGTCCAAGAACCACAACACACACATCCAGTTCCCAAAATGGCAGAGAAATGGTTTCAAGAAACCCCGATCACAAAGATATGAATTTCTTAAGGGGGTGGACCCCAAGTTTCTGAGGAACATGCGCTTTGCCAAGAAACACAAGAAGGGCCTAAAGGAGATGCAGGCCGGCCAGGTGCGGTAGCTCATGCCTGTAATCCCAGGCACTTTGGGGGACCAAGGCGGGTGCATCACTTGAGGTCAGGAGTTTGAGACCAGCCTGACCAACATGGTGAAACCCCGGCTCCACTAAAAATACAAAAATTAGCCAGCATAGTGGTGCACACCTGTAGTTCCAGCTACTGGGGAGGCTGAGGCAGAACTGCATGAACCCAGGAGGTCAAGGTTGCAGTGGGCCAAGATTGTGCCACTGTACTCCAGCCTGGGTGACAGAGCTCCATCTCCAAAAAAAAAAAATAAGATGCAGGCCAACAATGCCAGGGCCATGAGTACAGGTGCTGAGCCTATCAAGGCCCTCGTGAAGCCCAAGGAGGTTAAACCCAAGGTCGCAAAGGGGTCAGACGCAAGTTCAATCAACTTGCCTACATTGCCCACCCCAAGCTTGGGAAGCATGCTTGTGCCTGCATTGCCAAGGGGTTCATGCTATGCCGGCCAGAGGCCAAGGCCAAGGACCAAACCAAGGCTCAGGCTGCACCTCCAGCTTCAGTTCCAGCTCGGACTCCCAAAGGTGCCCAGGCCCCTACAAAGGCTTCAGAGTAGATATCTGTCTGCCAACGTGAAGACAGAAGGACTGGTTCGACCTCCCCAGGGCTGCTGTCTACATGGCGCTGGGGTCCTCCTGTGCTATTTGTACATATAAACCTGAGGCAAGAAAACGAAAGTAAATTCTGGGCCTGGTGCGGTGGCTCACGCCTGTAATCCCAGCACTCTGGGAGGCCTGGGCAGGTGGATCACCTGAGATCAGGAGTTCAAGATCAGCCTGACTAACATGAAGAAACCCCATCTCTACTTAAAATACAAAAATTAGCCAGATGTAGTGGTGACAGGTGTAATCCCAGCTACTGGGGAGGCTGAGGCAGGAAAAACCACTTGAACCCGGGAGGCAGAGGTTGTAATAAGCCAAGATCATACCACTGCACTCCAGCCTGGATGACAGAGCAAGACTCTGTCTCAAAAAAAAAAAAAAAAATTCTACCTCGAAGTTAAGTTTTCTCTTCTGCAAAATGGAGACAATTACATTATCCTTCCACTATTACTTTATAGATTCAATTCATCACTCAACAGTGATTCAAGAGTTGGGAGTGGTGGCTCATGCCTGTAATCCCAGCACTTTGGGAGGCCAAGGCGGGTGGATCACTTGAGGTCAGGAGTTTGAGACCACCCTAGCCAACATGGTGAAAACCCATCTCTACTAAAAATACAAGTTTACAAAATTAGCCAGGCATGGTGGTGCATGCCTGTAATCCCAGCTACTTGGGAGGCTGAGGCAGGAGAATCGCTTGAACCCAGGAGGCAGAGGTTGCAGTGAGCTGAGATCACACAACTGCATTCCGGCCTGGGCCACAAGACAAAACTCTGTCTCAAAACAAAACGATTCACAGAGTATCTTCTCTGTCCCTGGCACCGTTCCAAGTGCTGGGGACACAGCAGTGAAATTAGAATGAGCAAAATTTCTGCCCTCAGGGCACTCAAATCCAGGGAGACACACTAAATAAACCAGACCAATGAGAAAAATCCAGAGTGTGTCAGAGGAAAATTAGTGCTAAATACAAAAATCTAAAATAAAGCAAAGAAGGGGAGAGGGGTGAGGTTAACATTTACACTGAGGCCAATGAAGGCTTCACTAGAATGGTGACACTTTAAATAAAGGCCAGAAGGAAAGGTGGGCCGAGCAGGCACATGACAAAAGAACCATTCAGGCCAAGGATCCAGAGGCAGAGGTCACCTGGGCTGTGCAAGGAGCAACACAGCTGCTACAGACTGAGTGAGGTGGGGAGAGAATGAGGACAGAAAGGGGTGGGCATGGTGGCTCACGCCTGTAATCCCAGTACTTTGGTAGGCCAAGGTGAGTTGATCACCTGAGGTTAGGAGTTCCAGACCAGGCTGGCCAACATGGTGAAAACCCGTCTCTACTAAAAATACAAAAATTAGCTAGGCGGGCGCCTGTAATCCTGGTTACTCAGGAGGCTAGCGCACAAGGATGGCTTGAACCCAGGAGGTGAAGGCTGCAGTGAGCCCAGATCGTGGCACTGCACTCCACTCCAGCCTGGGCGACAAAGTGAGACTCTGTCTCAAAAAAAACAAAAACGACAGAAAGGACATGGTGAGCAGATGCGCAGAGAGGTTCTCTGTGTTCTGGTTTCTCCCAAGCTGTCCAGCGTGGTCACTCACTGTGACCTACCTCACATTCCAGGCCTTTGTACAATCTGCTCCCTCCTTTCCACCTCTTTCTCTCTTTTTTTTGAGACGGAGTTTCACTCATGTTACCCAGGCTGGAGTGCAATGGCGCGATCTCGGCTCACCGCAACCTCCGCCTCCTGGGTTCAGGCAATTCTCCTGCCTCAGCCTCCTGAGCAGCTGGGACTAGAGGCATGCGCCACCATGCCCGGCTAATTTTTTGTATTTTTAGTAGAGACGGGGTTTCACCATGTTGACCAGGATGGTCTTGATCTCTTGACCTCGTGATCCACCCGCCTCGGCCTCCCAAAGTGCTGGGATTACAGGCTTGAGCCACCGCGCCCGGCCAATTTTTTGTATTTTTAGTAGAGACGAGGTTTCACCATGTTGACCAGGATGGTCTCGATCTCTTGACCTCGTGATCCACCCGCCTCGGCCTCCCAAAGTGCTGGGATTACAGGCGTGAGCCACCGCGCCCGGCCCACCTCTTTCTCTTAACTCACCCTTTCCTCATCTTTCAGGTCTCAGCGCAGACATCCCTTCCTCCATGAAGCCCTCTCTGATTCTCCCAGGTGGAGTCAGGCACCTCTTCTGGGTGGCCCCAATCCCCTGGGATTTCCTGATCCCAGCCCAGACCACTCTAGGCTGTCCCTGTCTAGTGATGGGTCTGTCTCTTGTCAGGCTGCACTGGAGGCTCCAGGAGGGCAGGACCTATCTTGGGTATCACTCAGGGCAAAACCCAGCAAGTATCTGTTGAATAACCAAATGAATGGTGGAGAGGGGATAGGGGAGGGCTGGGGACAAGTGTCCCAGGTAGGCAGTTCTCACATGGATGCGGCAGCCGTCATCTACAGGGTAGGAGCCCAGCAGTGCATCTTCTTGATCCAGCTTGCTGTAGAACTTGTCGTCAACTCCATACAGCTCCAATTCCATGCAGGAAGCAGGGCTGCCCACCAGCAACTCCAGTTTACACTGTAAGGAGGGGGCAGGGTGAGAAGGTGGCCAGGAGCCCCGCCCCTTGCATCAATCACCATCGCCACATCCCTGTTCCTCCGAAAGACCCCCCAGTCAGGACCCACTGGGCCCGGCTCCTCGCCTCTTGCCCCGCCCCTTGTCCCGCCCTCTGGACCACTGGATTTTTCGCTGGCCCCACCCCTCGTCTCTGCAATCTCGGGTTCTCTACGGACCCGCCTCGCCGCGACCCGGTCCCTAGCCTCCGTGCTTGGGATCACCTCCGGCCCCGCCCCGTCGCTCCCTGGCCCCTCCCCGCCACCTCTCCGGGGAGTCCCCACCATTTCTTCGCCCCGCCCCTCCGGACCCGCCCCCACGGCCACACCTTGAACTCCGCGATTGTGAGGCTGCGGCTGTACCGCTTCTCGGAGCGGAAGGTATTGAGGGAGCTGCTGATGAAAACGGTCACCGTGGGCGCCGACACCCCCGTCACCTCCATCTTGCCGCGCCCTGCCTGGGCCCGCAGCGCGGTCCAGCCGCCTCACACCCGCTCCGCAGCCGCAGTCGCCGCTGCTGCTGGGATAGCAGCCCCGCCCCCTGCTCCGGGCCTGACCAATGCGCGCTCCCCTGCCAGGAGCGTCCGCCAATCGCCGCCTCCCTTCCCCACTGTCAGGAAGCGAGCTCTCTGTACTCCTGAGCCTGCCCCAGCGAATCCCGGGAGGCCTCCCAGAGTTCACGGTTTTTTCAGTAGCGGCCCGGAAACGGCCAGAACTGGGGCGAAGACTGTAGCCTGGAGGAAGAACGGGCAAGAGCTTCCTCCGTTAGCGCAGGGTAAACTCGCGCATGCGCACTGGCCTTTGGCCAAGCAAGCTCTGTGGCTTTTGCCCTGGGTGCTTAGCGTTATGCAGCTTACGATGCGCATCGTTTTCCCGGCTCTGTCGCCAGATCCATACTATTCTGTAAACTGGGGCGGCGATGTCCCAAAAATGGAAGGAATTACTCTAGGATATCAAAAGACTGAAGCAAGCAATGAAACCTTTGCGCGGAAAGAAGGGAGACACAGCACATGTGCTCAAGGCTGCCCTCTTTTGGCGAAACACCTAGGCCTGGCCCCTCCGGCGACCTGTAGCGCGGCGGAGCAAGCGCAGAAGGTTAGGCGGGCTGCGCGTCATCATGGAGCCCGACGGGACCTACGAGCCGGGCTTCGTGGGTATTCGCTTCTGCCAGGAATGGTGAGGCTGAGGGAGCGGGTGATGTGGAAAGAGGGTGAGGAATGGCTCCAGGACTGACCCCTTGGCACCTCGCCCTCCCCACAGTAACAACATGCTATACCCCAAGGAAGACAAGGAGAACCGCATTCTGCTCTACGCGGTGAGCGCCCGGGTCTTCCCCGGCTGGTCCACCTGTTCCCAGCGTGGCCTCGCCCTGTCCCCTGCCTCTGCGACCCGACTCCCTCTTTGCCCCCTGCTGCACCCCAAGTTATCCCGACTCTCCTGTCCATCCCTAAAGACCCCGTCCCGTCGTCGTACCTTCCGGGATCACCCTGCCCTCCCCTCCCAGTCTCATCCGGAATCCCTCCGTGACCCCCTTTCCCCTACACTCGCCCTCTCGCAGTGCCGGAACTGTGATTACCAGCAGGAGGCCGACAACAGCTGCATCTATGTCAACAAGATCACGCACGAAGTGGAGTGAGTGGCGGTCCCGGAGCTGGGGGCGGGGGTGTTAGCTCTGGAGGCCGGGTCTGAGCGTAATTATACACCCCTGCGTCCCTGCAGCGAACTGACCCAGATTATTGCCGACGTGTCCCAGGACCCCACGTTGCCGCGGACCGAGGACCACCCGTGCCAGAAGTGAGCGCTCAGCTGGTGCTGGGGAGGGAAAGTGAGGCGAAGGGAGGAGGGAAGGGTGTCAAGCTCCCTATGACTGAGCTCCCACCCCCTCAGGTGTGGCCACAAGGAGGCTGTGTTCTTCCAGTCACACAGTGCCCGGGCCGAGGTAAGTGGCACGAGGACATTCTAAGTATCTGGGGCTTGCTTGGTCCTTCCCGGGGGTGGTGATACCAATATGGGTGTCCCTGCGTTTCTTAAATCCTGGGCCGGACCCTTACCTATTGGGGAAGTTCTCTTGCCTGTTCTTTTGGGGTGAGGCGCTGCTGGGTCCAGAACCTTGCTAACCATGCATCCTTTCTGTCAGGACGCCATGCGTCTGTACTACGTGTGCACGGCCCCACACTGCGGCCACCGCTGGACCGAGTGATCTCACCTCTCCCCCGAGTGTAATTAACACCAGATTCCATGTGCGAGTTTCCTGTGTTTATTTGCCTCGTGGGGAGGGCACTGGCATGGGGTATCCGGCTGTGCGATGCAGGGCACGGTGCTGTGCATAGGCCTCCGGCCGGGAGCTGGTGAAACCACAGTCCTCGCACACGTGCAGCTTCTCGCGGCGTTCACGGTAAGCGTAGCTGGCTGGCTGCCCATGCACCTTAGCAAGGTGAGCTTCCAGGGAGCAGCGCTGCGTAAATGCTTTCCCGCAAGCACTACAGCGGAAAGGCCGGATCCCTGCACAGATGGGCACAGAGGGGACGGCTGGACAGGAAGGGCAATGGGCTCTGAACTAAAGCACCCCCACGTGTTTTACAGCATTGAGCATTTCCAGTCCCATTCTAAGCTCTTCAGATTCTTCCACCCATGACCCACCATGTGCTGCCCCCACCTAGTGCAGACATGGGCCAGACACCTGTTTCCCCACCCTCCTTCACCAGGATGTTCCCTCTCCTGGGGGACAGAGAGAGAGGCCTTCCCTTGCCCTCGGATCTGGAGCCTGAATCATATAACCCACATCTGTCTGCACTCTGTGTCCCTTGCCATGCCCCTATCTTGGTGCCACCTTACACCCACCTGCTGGGGTCCGAGGGACATTATTTCTGGAGTCCCCACGCCCCACATACACAAACCCTGGACACTCCACATCCCAGCACCTCTCTCCATTTCCTTCCATCCCCGCCTTGGGCCCAGCAGCCTTTTCCTGTCCCTACCACTGCTCACCAGTGTGCGTCCTCATGTGGCGCTTGAGATCGAAGGCATCATGAAAGCCCTTGCCACAACAGCGGCACAGGTGGCGGCGCACAGGACTGTGGCACTTGAGGTGCCGCGTCAGCATGCGCTGCAGAGGGAAGGCCTTAGGGCAGAGTGGGCAGCCCAGCATCCCTGGGCCCCTGGGAGCAGAGGTCAGGTTGCCCTGTGTGGGCTGCTGGAGGGATGTGGGAGTTATTAGCCCCTATGGTTGGACCCTGCCCACCCTTCGTTACTCTGCAAATGAGTACCGAGTGCCCAGAGCCATAGAGGATTTAGGAAGGCAGAGACAGTGATTAGCGTGTGTACCTGCCACTCTCCAGGGCCTTCCCTCAGTATCCCATGGCCCTTCTCCATGCCAAGTCCCATCTTCCAATGTGACATGAACTTTTTTTTTTGAGAGTCTTTCTCTGTCACCCAGGCTGGAGGTCAGTGCTGTGATCTTGATCTCAGCTCACTGCAACCTCTGCCTCCCAGGTGCAAGTGATTCTTGTGCCTTATCCTCCCCAGTAGCTGGGATTACAGGCATAGACCACCATGCCCAGCTAATTTTTGTATTTGTCACAAAGATAGGGTTTCACCATGTTGGCCAGGCTGGTCTGTAACTCCTGACCTCAAGCAATCCACCCACCTTGGCCTTGTGAAGTGCTGGGATTACAGGCGTGAGCCTACTATGCCTGGCCTACTTTTCTAATTTTATTGTCTTTTTTTTTTTTTTGAGATGGAGTCTCACTGTGTTGCCCAGGCTGGAATGCAGTGGCACAATGTCGGCTCACTGCAACCCCTGTCTCCAGGTTCAGTTGATTCTGCTGCCTCAGCCTCATATGCTATCACACCTGGCTAAGTTTTGTGTTTTTTTTTTTGGAACAGAGTCTCACTCTGTTGCCCAGGCTGGAGTGCAGTGGCACAATCTCAGTGCACTGCAGCCTCCGCCTCCCAGGTTCAAGAGATTCTCCTGCCTCAGCCTCCCAAGTAGCTGGGATTACAGGTATGTGCCACCATGCCTGGCAACTTTTTGTAATTTTAGTAGAGACCAAAATGACAACACGGCCAGGCTGGTCTCGAACTGCTGACCCCAAGTGATCTGCCTGCCTTGGCCTCCCAAAGTGCTGGGATTACAGGTGTGAGCCACCACACCTGGCTAATTTTATTGTCTATACCTGCAGCCCCCACCAGAATACAAACTCCATCATTTGTGAATTTTTTTTTTTTTTTTGAGACGGAGTTTCACTCATGTTACCCAGGCTGGAGTGCAATGGCGCGATCTCGGCTCACCGCAACCTCCGCCTCCTGGGTTCAGGCAATTCTCCTGCCTCAGCCTCCTGAGTAGCTGGGATTACAGGCACGCACCACCATGCCCAGCTAATTTTTTGTATTTTTGGTAGAGATGGGGTTTCACCATGTTGACCAGGATGGTCTCGATCTCTTGACCTCGTGATCCACCCGCCTCGGCCTCCCAAAGTGCTGGGATTACAGGCTTGAGCCACCGCGCCCGGCCCATTTGTGAATTTTTGTCTTATTCCTGCTGAATATAAAACCCCGTGTCTGGAATAGTGCCTGGCCCTCGTGAACATACGACATTCCAGCTGGCGCTTCCTTTCCTCTAATGCATGCACAGCTGAAATAGCCCTTATCTCCCATCACACTCTTGTCACCTTCTCCCATGTTCTGACATAAGGCAGATCATCCACATGAGGGGTTGAATCTTGTTCTGCCCTGCTGGACAGAGAGATCCCTGTGGCTGCCCACCCTGTTAGGTGCCTAGGGTGGGACCTAACAGTAGAGAGCTCACTACTAGGAAAGGAGAGCCATTCCCAACAGAGAGAAGCAGAGGTGGACAGGTCCTGAGGCATGAGGGCTTATGCAGATGGGCCTGGGGAGGAAGAGGCCGTCAGCTTCATTAAGGCTGAGAGCAGGCAGGGGCGAAACAGCTGGCTTTGCGGGCCAGCTCCACACTCACCGCTGCCCACGGATCCCTGACACTGGATGACTGTTGCGCCAGTGGCCCCCCCAGGCTGCTGCAATCTGAGGAGAGAAGCCGAATGGTGATGCTTTGCGTCTCCCCTGCTCCTTACCTCTGGGCACGGTGAGGGACCCACCAGGGATATAGGCATCTCCCCGGAGCTGGTCAGGCAGGTGGCCCCAGTTGGGTGGCTGTGGACGCCGACTCCTGACCAGGAAGGCGCGGGGCATCCCCTCAGGAAGGCTCTCCACGCGCAGTGGCTGCCTCTTCTACCTGCTGTCAGACCTCAGCCCCAGGATGACTATCCCTGGTGGGAGAGGAGGGGAAGCCTCAGAGGAGCCTCATTCTCTTCATGCAAATTTCCTGATTGGCCCTGGGAGCGGACTAAGTTGGCTTGGGTTACCCCTGCCTGGGAACCTGCTGTCTTCTCCCAGGTTTCAGAGGGAACTGTCCAGCTTTCAGAGGTGAACAAGCACTGGGACCACCAAGCAGGGCCAGGAAAGGGGAGACCAGGCCTGGGGAGCTCTTGGGGTTGGAGAGAGGAAGCATGGCCCCAGGGGGGCCGAGTGTCTCCCAGGGGTTGAGGGTCTGTTTGCCAGGCAAATCAGTCACCAGGGGACAACCAGCAGCCTGCCTGGTTATTCAAATCACAGCAGCTGTCTGAGGACACAGAAGGGGCCCCCTGCTGTGATTGCCCTGCTCTATAGAGTACAGGGAAGACACCAGATCCGGATAGATCAGGGCAAAATGAGGATCTAGGCTATGCATCCTCAGGCAGGACACCTCACCTCTCTGATCTTCAGACTCCCAGAGCTAACATTCAGCCAGAAGCACTATTCAGGTGTAGCAGGCACTCAAATTCTAGTTTGGTAATAATCTACCTCTTAGTGACTGTGTGGGACAACACTCCCTCGCCTCACAGTCTGGAAAGTAAAAGGTGGGAATCTTTTTTTTTTTTTTTTTGAGATGGAGTTTTGCTCTTGTAGCCCAGGCTGGAGTGCAGTGGCGAGATCTTGGCTCACTGGAACCTCCACCTCCCAGGTTCAAGCAGTTCTCCTGCCTCAGCCTCTTAAGTAGCTGGTACTACAGGCATGCACTACCCCACCACCACACCCAGCTAATTTTTGTATTTTTGGTAGAGATGGGGTTTCATCATGCTGGCCAGGCTGGTCTTGAACTCCTGACCTCAAGTGATCCACCCGCCTCTGCCTCCCAAAGTGCAGTGATTTCAGGTGTGAGCCACCTTGCCTGGCCCAAAGGGGGTCTCTTGACACAGCCAGGACCCTACCTCGGCACACTGGCCAAGCTCTGTTCTACACTTGATTGTTAGCCAAAAGGCCAAGAAGCAATTCAAGCTCTGTTTTTAAAATTTATTTTAATTTATTTATTTTGAGGTGGAGTTTCACTCATTGACCAGGCTGGAGTGCAGTGGCACAATGTCGACTCACTGCAACCTCTGCCTCGTGGTTCAAGCGATTTTCCTGCCTCAGCCTCCCAAGTAGCTGGGATTACAGGCACGCACCACCACGCCCAGCTAATTTTTTGTATTTTTAGTAGAGACTGGGTTTCACCACGTTGGCTAGGCTGGTCTTGAACTCCTGACCTCAAATGATCCATCCGCCTCGGCCTCCTAAAGTGCTGGGATTACAGGCGTGAGCCGCCACAGCTGGCCAACTCAACAATTTTCTAGGCTTCAGACCTAGCTTATTGAAAATGATTGCATAAGTCCATGAAGGAGACACACCAGTGATAGCCCAGAATGACCAACCCAGTGAGGGGCAAGTGAAGCAGAGAGACCCAGCCATGATGGAGAAAACAAGGCGTCCTGGGGACACGGACAGCCTAGGGGTGCAAGAATGCACCCTGCTCCTGATGCAGTCTAGGGGTGCAAGAATGGCTTCCTGGATAAGCCCTGAAAGAAGAGGTTTCAGATGAAAGGGGAGGGTGTTCTAGTCAGAGGGGGACGTCTGTACAAAGCTTGAGGGTGAGGAGAGTGTTTCTTCATTTCTTCACATTGCCTGAGAGTTGTGCCAATTCATTTAGGGAAGCAAGGGTGGCAGTGCTGAGGGTCTGCTGGCCACGCATTGCCACTTGCTCTCTCGAGGACCCAGGGTAAGTCCTCGAGCCTCAGTTTCTTCATCTGGAAAATGAGACTAAGGAGTCTCCCTGTTCCTGGTTTGTATTGAAGATCCATGGAGAAAATGCTTAGCACATGAGGCCTGGCATGTGGTAGACATATAAGCAGGGGGTGGTTAGGAAGGCATT